TGCAGTCGAGGCGCCTGGGGATGGCGATTGGGGAGAGGCACAAAAAGAAAGGCCAGGATAAAAATGAAGACGCGGATTATTTTGCTTGTGAAGGCCCTTTGAGAGCAAGCAGCACGCCCTCACTGCGGGTTACCAGCGCGCCAGATGCCCCTTAGCGTGTCCAGGGGCCGCCTCTAAGGACCCCAGCCAATTGCTGCAGGTTGGCGCAGGTAGTGTGCCGTACCTGTGCTGACCTGTGCTGTATCGGCGTCTGTGTGCCTGGCTAAGACCCGTACCCAGATAACCTCGGCGTCAATCACCTGTAAGACTGCCTGAGCTGCCTGACCTCGAGTCAATTGCTCGCCGGTCCCACCCCAGCCGGGCGACGCTCTCTCTTCCCCTGCGTCCACCTGAGCAGACCTTCAACGTTGCAGCCCTGCCAGCCATTGGACCGCTGCGGAGGAATAATCATGTCTCAAACTTTGTTTCCATGTACTTTCCCCCCTGCTTCGAGCCCCTCTAGCTTTCACCATCTACTCCGGAGTAGACCTCCAGGGCTAGTCTTGCCTCACTAGCGATCGGCGGCCGTTCCTTCCAATTCTCCTTGTCCATCTCTGACCATCTCTAACCTGAACAAGGCGCCGCATCTTTGTCATGCCGCATGGAAGCTCGAGCATAGCACGCGCAATGCCTTTCATGCGTCGGCAGCCCGCTCCCGGCCTTGTCGTCCGCACCCAGCGTATGCGGCTGTAGATCCCTCAGCCTCATCTCACTTGCGAGGAAACAATTGCTTCCATTATGCCGCCTCGCGTCGCTGCGCCGGCCTTTCAGGTACAATTAATAGCGTGTTTCAGCGCTTGCCAATCCTACGCGAACTACCCGTCCCTGCTCTTGGCACAGGTGACGAAGCTGCAGCACCTCTGTGGAAACCGCAGTCAGAGAGGGGCATCGACTGCAAGGCCGCCTCCACTACACGCGCAAAACTACCGAGCCCCTTGACCTTGCTCCTTTCCTGCAGACGCATCAAGCCACCGCTGCTGTGCGAGAGAACGTGATTGTTTCTAGCGCCCTCGACCAGCGCCATGTGGCTTTGGCTCGCCATCCACCACACCCCCTTTCTGCGAAATTGTCAAAACTCCTAAACCATCCATGAGTCTAGCATAGTCCCTCCCGCGGACGGTACCCTACTCCGGAATATATGCTCGCAATTCTCCTGGATGTCCGCTACCTGCTGGAACTTGCCATCAGACTACATAGACGCACTGTGCCTGAGTGATTCATGTCCACGCGCGCAGGCGCACTACGTCCCAACTAGGAAGTCCCATCGCCTAGACTCTCCCGCCACTTTTTATCCGTCTTTACATCAACAAGCATCATTGTACGTTAATTATATGCACCTCCAAGGTTGTAGCTAGGAATCAAACTTGAATGTGAAGCAAATGGTCCAGGACAGACAACCTTGGCAGTTGTGACCCCCACGTGACCGGCAGCTGACACCCTTCGAGACGAGGCGGCATGTCAATACTATGCGTGCTATCAACTGAGCACAACCTGCGTGCCTTCCTCAGCCAGTAAATGACCCCGCGATGAGCAACGTGTTGTGACTGTGCATCGTGCAACCTTGGAAATACTGAGACATGTCGTCATTATCTCCTACGTCGCTTCCTCATTGAGCGCCCACGCCTTATCTTCATATATTCCAACACTTACTCTGCTTCGCCCTGCCTGCCTCATTCCACTCGCCCAGAAAATGCTAACAGTGCAGACGGAGATGAGCGGAGATGTCAACCACTATCGTCCAGCGGCCTATCTTCAAGCAAGAGTCATAGCAACATCTCGAGCACATCCGCAGAATCTGCCGTCGCTACTGCCTTCCCACGGTAGTAACTGAGCCCCGAGCAGGCCGGCAGTACAGTAAGTGCGATGATGCCCAACCGCTTGCCTACTAATTTTGTTATCCACAATGTAATAGCAGCCGGCTATTATAGATACTAAATTCGCGACTACGGGACCCATATGCACGACATGCCTTGTTTCTTCGCGGATCATGACCCCACTGCGGAGTTTGTCGTCGATTGTTGGAGATAAGCTGACTGCTATAGTCACCAATATCATTGTGTATGGCTCTACGCATCGAGCTCTACCCCGAGGTCATGCAACAGGTACTTGTCCAGTACTATCCAGCACGAAAAGCGCGGCTGATGCCGTTGTCTCTCGTCCTTTCCGCACTAGGACCGAAGGAAGATCAGGACCCACTATCGTTACAAGTTCCAAGTTGGTACACCCGAGCCACGAGTTCTTCAAGATACCATGGCTAGCTGCATACCGCCAACCCCGGTCCACCGTTCGTCTCAGAATCTGCAAAGCCGGCACGTGGCCGGGAAGTGGAGATGCTCGACGCAACTATGTCGTGAGCTTAAGACATGAAGGTAAGGCCGTTCTATACTCTGCTTGCCAGTTTTCGACGTTGCAATGAGTGCGGGGTAATACCAGCAATAAAGTTACAGCGCTGTGTAGCTTTCCACCACTCCGAGACATTCACCGTCTTACACGTGCGCTACACGCGAGATGTCGGCTACTGCAACCTGGCCCCACGTCTGAACTCTATTTCGACGTGCATTCGGACACCGAGTCAAGATTACCACCCGCCGTATTCGCTTCTCTTCCATCTCGCCACACATATTCTGTCCTTTTTTGACAAATTGTCATTCCATTACGGCCCGTCTCCCAATGCACCCGAGCCGTTGACTCCGCTCTGTGGTCCTTCACTTACGGGAAACTGTTAGGGCCCGCGACGGGATGCGAGCAACCAATCGAGCATCTTCCAAACCGGGATGATAGCAACGGCTATCGGGTACGTCAAACTGCGATCGACTATGAACTCAATCGAGCTCGGTCTCATGCGAGTAGACATACCGTCGATTTCCTGTAACGTCCGCTATAGCTACGCCGCCTACGTGGCCTTCTGACACTTTCAACGTCGAGCAAGACGTGGCATGAGGCTGTAACATCTGCTACACTACCAGCCGGTCAATACTTTCTAAAGTTAGCTCTTCTAGAACAAGCCACTTACATTCTTGGAGACGTCGGACACATCTCGGCTCGACCCGCCTAGAGACCTGACATTGCAGGACTACCCCCCTCAACATACTTCTCAAACCTCAACGGTAAAACCGTTGGATTCATAACCTTTTGCGGTTGCATGCAGCCAGAACAAGGCCGAGTTCTAGATTGATGCATGAACACAGGGAGTTATCCATCTTAGGCTGCGGCTGCGGATGCAATGTCGAAACCCTCCGCGCAGTGCGGTCAAATCTACTGCTACCAGGATCTGCTTACATCACTAGATGCGTACATCACGCTCTTCAGATTACTAAAAGATGTAAGGGATGCGCTACAAATTATACGTACACGTCGGAACCATGAATGCGACGACGACCTAGCATCACCGGCACCTTGACGATCGAAACCAACTTCAACATGCATACAACATCAGACCACCATATCGACAATGAACCAAATCTTTGCTTGCTATGGATACTACGTTTTCACCACCTGAATTGTCAGACATCGTTCAGGCCTGCCATCAGCACGAGCACGGACACACCACACCATCCGCTTAAACTCCCGTCAACCGTCTCCATCCACCAACCCACGACCAAAATATCTCACATACCGTACCCACCTACTCCAATCTCCAAATCTCCAAACCCTTTCTCTTTTAGCTCGCCTTTCGCAACCGCGTTCTCATGTCTGACCGTTGTTTCCTGCTCCCCGTCGATCCAACGTTGGTTCCTGCCCAAAATGCACGCAAGCCAACGACGAGTCATGCAACTGCATCTCGCGTCTGCAGCCCGCTGAACGTGATCACACCGCTGCGTTCCCGCACAGCCGCAGTAGACTCGGTGCGAAGAGTATGATTACAGTAAGGTGTTGACATTTTTATGCGAACTAATTCCTTTGCCGCGAGGTGCATGAAACATGTATAATTGATCGGTTATTGCATAACGGTTTTTATGTATTGTAGATCCGGGGTACTTGATCGAAGGGGACGACGATCGGAGAATATGGAAGTGGTTTTGGGATGATGGAAAGTGTAGGTTTGGATTGTATTGTTGGTACGTTATTCTATGAGACGTTACTACTCTGCGTAGTTTGCGCACGCGATAAATAGAGAGCTGGAGTGTAAGGTGATACAGTAGGCACGGTTTATCTAAGCAGAGGCTACCACCATACATCGTGAAGGTCCCAATACACCACAAGAGAAGAGTCTGTGGAGTAAACATACTATATTCATTGTGACAATGTAAGTCAGGCAATCTGTCCGCGGTCTAGTCCAACTTCTATGCACTATCCACTCAATAGTCCCTCGCAAACCAGAGCAAATTGGAAACTAGAAGATATCTATACCTTTGTGGTAAGAGCATCTTGCTTGGTTTTATGCTGATAAAGCGCATCTACATCTAGCTGTAACTGCTTTGCATAGGTGTGAGAGATAGCTAAAAACATCTTCTCAAAGTGCAGACCGCAGTGTGCAAGGGCCTAGTATAGTTTTTCCAAATTGTTGCAAGGTATATAGTCTTCATCGACAGTATGTCTAGATAGACATAATTAGATACTAGAGCACAACTATCAATTCTGATCAAGTTAATTAAAAGACCCTAGCACAAGTGGTGAGTACCAATAATTTGACTGAATATCTCGAATCGACCAAGAAGCTTTCACATTCCTTTCACTCTGCTGACCCACCCATTTCGATCTTATGCGATCATGTATTCCCCATGACAGGGTTACAGCACCTTGTATAATAATAAAAACTAAACACATATTTTCTAGAAGTCTACATTGCTGTAGATCACATGTAAAGTTTAACCTTTGTTCTAATGTAGACAGCAGAGCACCTGTTCGATTTTTTCTTTGTATGACGTGACAGGACCGAAATCGGTAATCTGCGCTCTAGAGCACTGAGGAAGTAAATCTATGTGCCCAGCAAAACGAATGCTTTCGATGAACTTAGTAATTTACATCACCCCCAGGAAGAAGTTGTCTGCCATGTATTTCAGGAGGAGAGAACGGAATTCTTTGAAGAGTTCTCTATCCGTAGTCCTGCCAAAGGAATAATATCTCCACTGATTCTCACAGAAGCAAACGTATGAATACCGCGTGGTCTTGGGAATTGCTCGACTGATGCTCATAATACAATACTCGGAGGTGAGGTTTGTGAAGCGGACGTCTCCATAGCGCTCTTCGAAGTCATTGAGAAACTGGCGAACCGCGGTAGGATCTTCCAGCTCCAGAGAGCTGATCCAAGCACGAGCCCGATCCGACGCAATGTCGTCTGGTAAATTCGTCTCATAGTTCCTTTTAATGGCCTTTATCGCAGAGGCGGGTGACTTGGGCCTTTTCAGCTCCTTCCATAACTGGGGTTCAACAGCCGCGTGTAGGAGGGCTAAAGCTGAGCGAGAGGCGTGATCATAGTCTTTCCATTTCTGTAGCTGGAATTGGTAGACGGCGAGCTGGTACTGCCAGTCCACTAGAGGAGTCTCTTGTACCACATCATCATCATCTTGTTGGAGTGCGGAAAAGGCGGGCGCCACTGGCTTTGCGACTACCTCAGCTCTTCCCTTAAAGTGCTCTCTGTAGCCGTAGATGTTCGCGATGTCTTTGAAACGCTGGAACCAGTCGGTGAAGTTCTCGGGCCCGGAGAGCTTCTTGAAGTCGGGGCCTAGGGCGATGGTGGGATCGTTGATGGCGGCCATATTTGGCTGGTTGAGTGCGGCGATGGGTTTGTGGAGTGTGACAAGAGCAGGGTTGCGGGCTAATAGCTTGCCATGAGATAAGAGTGAATGACTTCATCTGATGACTGTGAGCATGGTGGTGGTTAGTGGCGCGAATATGACGCGTGTTCTGACTGTGCATGGTATGAGTGAAGGATTAAACGACCAATCGCACCATACTGAAACAGAGATGATGCTCTCGTACAACGCTCAGGCATGAGCTTCGGGATGCACTTTCTTTAGAACATGAAGGAACTTTCACACATGGCAGACAGAGACGTAATGTAGGTAGATCATATGTATTTCAGAACATAAGGAGAAAGTGGTATTATCCTAACAAAACAACAAATTACAAGCAGACATACACAAGAGCCATCTGCCCATCTGCCTAGCGCAATGGAAGAAAAAGACAGCTCCCTTGGAGAATACAATCCTCCCAGAAAGCGCTTTTCCACCACTACCGATTCTTAGGCTCTGATACCCACATACTGGAGTTGCTTCCATCCATCCATCTTTGTTCGGGTATGATCCACAACGACGACAACAACTCTTCTCATTGAAACATAAGGAATGACCCAAAGTACACAAGGGGGGTCGTCGGACAAGGGGGTGTTCTCAAGGAGAGTAACGAAGTGCAAAGCAAGAAAATAGGGTCCCTAGCCGTTCAACGCCGGGGGTAGGTAACATGGTAAGGAAAAGGGCATCAATGCTAATCTCGTTTCGATCGCTAATGATAAAAACAAAGTAGAGGAAGAAGGGCGGCAAGCCGCGGCGACGACTAGCTTATCGCATGTTGTGGCGTACAGCGGTGTTGGGTCGCTGCAGTGGTTGCGCGTACTTGGACACGGGAACCATGTGAGCGTCGAGATCGTTGTTACCGTCTACGTCGTCATCGTCTTCGATGATGCGTGTTGGTACGACAGGGATGTCGTGCGATCGGTGCTGTAGGCTCGTCCGATCTGGTGTTGTGCTGGCGCTGGCCATGGACATGGAGGTGCTGGACCGATGGCTTAGATCGGGCGTTGGGGGGATGCTTGAACCCCGGTTGGGGCGGAGCATGTTGTCCTCGTCGCCGTACTCGCTGCCAATAGTCGATTGCGCGCGGCCTCCGGCCGATGACATCTGACCAACGCTGCTGCGGCGGTCGCTGTGGTTGTCGCCATCTTCTGTGTCAGCACGCTGTGCGAGCTGAAGACCCTCAACAGCTGCAGCGCACTGCTCTGAGATGTTGCGGATGATGTAGGCGATGGCGTCGGTCTTGTCCCGAAGGACACGGTCGGCGACGTCGACCATTGATTGATTTGAGAAGCGCTTGGAGTTGCGTGCGGGGTTGTTGAATAGACGCTGCTCCATGTCGGGTGTAACGTCCTCACCGTCGAGGTGCTTGCCCTGCGCAGTGCTGGCTCTTGACTCCTGGCGGCTCTCAACACCGGCTACGCCGCGGATGGTACCGACCTCAGACTTGTCCTTGATCGAGTGACGGGGGGTTTGATGGCGCGACGCCGCGTCTTCAAACTCCTCCTGGTCCTCATCCTCCTCAGGCACGTCTTCGAAGCCGGCATCCATATAGTTGGACATGTCATCCTGGTTAAGGGACTTGACGATGTGCTCCATGTGGTGGGTCTGACCCTCGATAAGAGCACGAAGGTGGAGCACAACCCGTTGCGCTTCGTCGCGCTGGCGCTGGATGGCACCGTTGGTATGTTGCAGAGCACCAAGCTCCTTCTTGTTCTTCTTCCTCTCGCGCTCGAGCTCCTCAGCAATCTCTTGCTGTAGTACAAGCGCTTCGAGGGCGTCGTCACGTTGCTTCTCAGTACCGGACAGACGGACAGTGAGCCTTGCGGCATCATCCTTCTGTTGGTCGATAAGGCTTGTAAGACGACGGTTCTCACGCTTGTGGTTCTCGATCTTGACCTTGAGATCCTGGGTCTCCTTGGTGAGTTGCTCGGCGAAAGCCTGGAACTTGAGGAACTGTTGTTTCCAGCTCTCAAGCTCCTCGACCAAGAAGTTGTTGCGCTTTGTAACCTTGCCAAGCTCGCTGTCGAGGCGCTGCTTGAGGTTGATGAAGTCTGTCCAGGCTTCTTGTGCGTCACGGGAGTACTGGTTGCGCTCGCGAACGATCTCGTTGAGGTGGCGCATCGACACCTTGGTCATCAGCGGCTTCTTGACAGAGCCACCGAAGATAGCCTTAACGCCAGTGTTGCGGCCCTGCGGTGATGTTAGCGTGTGGTACGATGAGTCTATGCACAACCGGATACATACCAATTTCTCACACACGTGGTCCATGACCGACATGACAGCATCCTGGGTCCACCAGTCGGGGTCCTGGATGCTCTCAACCTCACCACGCATCACAATGATTTGACCCGCGGGAATGAGCTTGCCGCCACCGTACGCCGAGCGCAGATGCTGTGGAACTCCGGTTGGTGAAACCTCACCGTTGAGAGCCTGAGTCAGACGCTGGATCATCTTGGTCCTCTGGCCGGCGGTAAGAGCGGTAGGCGGGCTTGAAGTCAGGACGAAGTTCCGGTCCAAGTCGACGACAAGGGCATCTGTGGGAGCCGTGAAGAGCGATCGGCACTCTGATGTTACACCCAGAATGTATGGGCCCGGCTCCTGCACGAGATCCTTGACGTGACGCGCATGAACGACGGGTACATACAGACCGCTCCACTCGTACACCCGGACACAGAAACGGACTGTCTCGGCTGCGATGGTGAGCATCGCGGGGTAGTGACTGGTGAAGATGATTCGTCGTGTGGGCGATACAGCAGCCTCTATCACACCCACAATGTTGGGAATTGAGAGACACGTGAAGAGGGGCCACATGGCGAAGTTTTGAAATCCGGTAGGCGAGGATGGGAACTGGTAGCACAGCGCGTAATCCTTCATGTCGATGCGGACCAGGTCGTTGAGGCGAGGAGCTGGGAAGCTGAGGATGCGTGAAACCTCCTCGGCATGGAAAAGGTTGGTAGCCTTATTCCAGTGAATCCACATGCCGCGCAGGTAGTCGCCGAGTAGGTTGTACAAGGGGTATCGGGAGAGGAAGCTCAGGCAGTACGGGATCCAGTATGTCTCGTCTGGGTTGTCGAAGAAGTCGGGCTCGATTCGCTTGCGCAGGTCGCGAATAGTCTCAGCGCGCTTCTCATCAGCGCGAGACCAGACGCGCAGTGCGATACCGTAAAGAGTGTGTGAGGAATCTTGCTGCAGGACGAAGGAGTGGTGTACGCAGTGCGGCTGGCTCCTGCCAGTGCAGATCTCGACGTCGTGGGGGAAACATGCCTGTGTGCGTGGTTAGTAGCGCGCTAACAATGACATTGTTGTATAGACGTACTCGCATGGCAGCATGAAGAGACCTCGCGATCTCGTTATCCTGCTCCAGTCTTGGACTGCTTCCCAGAATCTCAGGAAGCCAGAAGGTACCAACAGCACCCTTCATGTGGCCAATCTTGCCCTGAGAGGGCGCAGGCGCCTTCACCCATTGTGATGGCTCGCGACCAACACCACACACCATGTAGGCATGGGTCAGGGTCTTGGGGCTCCGCGCGCCCTGCTTGACGTTCAAAGTCGATGGAAGCGGTTGGGTGATCCTCGAATGAAGCGACGATGTCCGGCTCGGGATGATGAGGCTGTGGTCGGCATTGTCTCTCGTGGGAGGACGCTCGCTGGCGCCTGTACGTGGTCGCAAACTTAAAGAAGGTGCCATGTTGGCGGATTCGATGTCGGTCCTATCGAGATGGCCGTTGCGGTATGGGTGTAGAGAACGGCAGGCGGATGAATCCAGCAATTATTATGACAGCTATAACTGTGAGAACATGAGGCGATGCGTGAAAGGTATCCGAAAGGCAACCCGCGAGAACAAGAGAGAGCGGACCGTGAGTACTATACGCACTCCGTCAATTGAGAGCTCCGAGGTCACCTTGCTGCGGGCAGTAGAGGAGGGTAGCAGCAAGGGGGAATCATGGCTTTTGGGGAGCTCTGCCGCAGCGCGCGGACTGGATGCTGGGGGTTGAACGACCCGAAGACTAGCATGGGTGGCTTTCACAAGTTTCGGTTCGAGGAAATGAGAAGCATATCCCTGCCCATTCGCAGGGTCCGTCTCGGAGCACGGTGCACGGCGCTGTCAGGGGCACTTTTCTTGAATAACGGCTCGCCCAACTTCCTCGAGCGGGCGCGACGGCAGCAAGGGCCGCAATCAAAGATACGGCTTATACACAGTACACTGTTATGTCGCCTCGCTCTTTGCACTGTTGTAACGTTTCCTGCAGCCACGTCCAGCAACCGGAGCTCTGGTACCACGACTCGGTCACCGAGAGTCCGCAGCGGCCTCAGCAGAGAATCCCCGCTGGTGGCAATAGCGCCATACGGACTGGTCTTATGCTGAATACCGCATTGGGTTGGATTCGAATCATTCGCACGCCTTGTGCACGATGAGCACGTCTGCAGCGTGCATCCTCGCATCAGCATGCATGAGCAGAGTTCCCGCACTTGCAGCTCGGACGGACCGCGAATGGAAGTGCTTAGAAATTGGCGAGGCAAACCCCTGACGGCTGTTGGCTATCGGTGGCTGCCCAGCAGGCGGTACATGAAGATCGCTCTTAGGCCCGCCGCCAGGCACGTTTGATCCTGCGTGGGAGTGCGAGGCCTTTCTGCAGAAGGTCCAAGACGCGCCGTCGAGCTGTCGACCAGATTCTTCGATCGGCTCCACAGTCCGGTAAAGGTGGTGGCCACGTACAGTAGCCTCGCGTGTCGTGGACCCTCTAGAACCAGACTTCTGAGCTGTCCGTTGAGAATTGCGGAGAGCTGGAATTGGTGAGGCTGAAACACCGGGCACTCAAGCTGCCTGGCAAATCGGGCGCCTTCGCCCAGGTTCGGTCAAGCTGACATGGACAAGACGTGTTGCAGCCGGACAGAGCGAGAACGACTCGATTGCCTCTCAACAGCTGTAGACGAGCGCAAGCGCATAATCGGCGCAGTCGACCACTTGTTTGATCTGCGCGTGGGTGGACCTCGATGCAATTTGGCGTGGAGAATACTCCGATGTCTTAAGGAAAGGGTTCCCAGTCGACCACAGCCCGGCGAGTGTGCTGGCGGCGTGCCACTGCTCCGACCATGGTTCGTCGAAGGCCACGGATAAGCCGCAAATTTCCATGTTTACAGGAATTTTCGCATAGGGGTACAGAAACCGAGCAGATGGAAGCCGTCGCGACTGATCTGCACTAGATGGACGAAGCTGTGAACAGAGTTTTTGTGGTCGCGCTAGTCCAACCTCATAAACCTTCCTCGCTGCTAGCAGTCTTGCGTGCAGCGCGCAGCGATCTAAACCACGGTGCGAGATTGCTCGGAGAGTAGATCTGCAAGACAATCACTAAATCTCCTGCATTCTGGTGACGTTCCCCACCGGAAAGCGACGATATCTGACTTCAGCCACAACGCGACTGGCGAAAGTTTCCACCACGACCCATCATTGCCTTGCACGCCACACCATCGTCGCGTCGCTCAACAGCACCTACCGCCTGACCTTCCCTGCACCTGTTCACGCGTACGGCTATTCCGCTACCGTGCGAAAGTGACTCCCCTTCGTGCCGTCGCGCGAGATCCGATCACCTCTAGCCTAGGTGTTGGTGATCTGATATCACGTTCCCCGTCTCCACTATTCGGGCGATATGACAGACGCAGTGTTGCTCAACGAACTATGCAGTATCTGGTATGTCTGACTAGTTACCCCTCCGTAGCACTTGTTACATCCCAAAAGTTCGATGTTCGCTAGCAATCGTCCTAAGAGGTGTGCCGCGTTCCTGTGACACTAGCTAGCGCAACGAAGCCGCGTCGGCATGCATGAGAGAGAAAGCTGACGTTTAATTAGCCATAGCAATAAATCCAAGTACAAATGTCCTGGGTGTGGCGCACGCACATGCTCGCTGCCATGCTACAAGCGTCATCAACAGAACGCACAATGCTCAGGGAAGCGCGACCCAACAAAGTTCATCAAGAAGTCTGATCTGGTGACCCCCAAGGGCATTGATCACGACTATAATTTTCTTTCTAGCATAGAGCGGAACCTCGAAAAAGCTGAGAGGGTCGCTGGAACCACCGCTGAGAGCACTCCTCAAGATGGTCTGTCCAACAGGGAGCGAATGGGTGTTCAGTATGGCAAGCTTGAGAATGCTGCTGGCGTCAAGATCATGCGGGCGCCCAAAGGCATGAGCAGACAAAAAGAGAATAAGTCGCACATGTCTGCTACAAAGTAAGCCCCCCACTATCAACGCGTACACGTAACACTGCTGATCTTTGTGTCCAGAAAGGCTACACGGAACATAGTATGGACAGTCGAATGGTTTGACGAGACCAAGAGACGCGTGCTCACCGAGACATCCTCTACACAATCGATCCAAGATGCACAACCTTTCGTACAACAAGGCAGTGGTGCTAAAAGCAAGAAGAGAAAGCTGAACAACGAGGCTCCTGCCAGCCAAAGTTCTCAATCAAACCCTCCACACCTGCCTCAAAATGACGTTGCGCCTACTGCACCGGACCAAGACCAGCCAATCGAGCAGCATGAAGTCAATTCTGAGCTTCAGGTCAACAATGCGGGGCCAGAGGGAGTCACCCCCGGACGAGGAACCCCTGCTGCAGAAGAAAAACAACAACCCACCAAAAGACAAGCAGACTTGGCCGAGACGCGTCCTGGAGATACTCGCACTGATGGGCAGTCCATGGGCAGCGGGCAACATAGGGTTTTTCTGCTAAAGCCCCGCACAAGCACAAACCGCCACGTCCTCATCCCTCTAGACCCTTCGCAATCGCTGGGTGAAAGCCTGCACGGCCGTACTATACTCGAGTTTCCGACTATCCACGTTTTCCCTGCTGGTATGGAGAAGCTGCCCGAAGACTACATGTTGGAGGAAGAATACACGAAGCTAGAGGGAGAGCAACAGAGAGAGTTTGATGAGATGATGCAGGAGCTCGATCCGGAGATCTTGAAACGGTTGAAAGAAGGTGAGGGGCGCATGCCAGGGGACAGTAGCGGGGGAGGAGGGGACGAGGAAGTTGATAGTAAGAGGATACTAGACGTGCTCAAGCAGGATCTCGGCGGACGGTTGTAGAATGAGGGCCGAGAAGCGCAGCTTACTCCGCCGTTGATACTGAAAAGAAATCCAGGCATTGCATCACATACAAAGGCGCCCTATAGACAGGCATCGGAGGATTTCCTTTTGATGCCGAAGCGCTGACGGCGCCTTTGCTACCATGCCATCACAGTCACACTCAACGTCTCCCTTTTCGAGCACTACTATCGACCCATTTCTCTTGATCCAATACTCGTTCCAGCCACTAGAGACCAGGGTCTTGTACCCCCTCCTACCCCAATCGGAACGGTACCCTGTCTAGACAACCGCTACCCTGCCCATATGCTTGCTTTCCCTGAAGTCGTCATGCCTTGGACCCCAGTCGTGTTTGCTTTTACCACGCGCCCATGCGGGCAATGCGGGCAGACGCCATACGCCACCCGTCACGGCCGTTGACAGTGCACCAGCGTTTCACGTCGCATTTACAGCCTTGCTTTTCTTTTGCTGCTTTCGACTGTCTGCTTGGTCGGCTGTCATGCCCTCGAATACTAACCACGTGTACGCCCAGACCGCTTTCAATCACCGCGCTAGTACACTCACAGCGGCAACCCGTCGCCTCACTTCCTAGGCATCGTAGTCGTCGCAACCTCACCTGGGCACTATCAACGTCAACGTCACGATAACCAAGATGAGATGCCAACTCCGGGAGCAACCCCAAGCTGATTACCGATACCGACCCCGATAACGCGCTCATCACCAGGTTCCCCAGTCCAAACTGACACAGACGCCGCCCTCGCCCCAATCACCCCATCTCGAAAACATTATCGAACATCCGCAAGGTCCCGTACCTCCGCGGGTAGCTCGAATCACGAATAAAGTTCAACCACACTCCCCAAACCATTCCCATCCGACGTGTCAACTCCGCGAAAATATGGGGAAAACAGGGCCCCCAAGCCAAGAACGTCCAACTCGTCATCCCACGCAAAAAACCTTAGAAAGGGAATTAGGCAGACTAGGATCGAGGATCATGCCTCGCTAAACAACGAGGCGCAACACGGCATCTTATTTTTCACAGATCTTAGCGCGATTTCACATATAGCGTTTTGATGTGGGGTCGCTCTTTGTTGCTTGCAGGGCCGCGGCGGCGCTCCGCTGCAACTTCATGACTGAGGTCGCAGGTCGGGTTTGCGTACCGGTGCAACTGGGTCCAATGAGGCCGGCGGAGATGAGGGTACGTAGGATTTTTTGAGTTTTCCAGGACTCGGTGTTGGATGCGGGATGCCGACATCTCGCCCCGTGTGATGAGAGTCAGTTTGCTATGGCGTTATTTGCCTCGTGGGTCGAAGACGTACGATACCCCCGAGATTTGCTGTCGCTTCGATGGCTGCGATAGCCGTTTGTAGACGGATGGATGGTGGGGCTAAAAGGTAAGAAAGAAGGATTGGGGTTGTGCGTCGGAGATTGATGCTCCCTTCCACGCTTCGTTGCGCAATCGTCTGTGTTGCTAATTTGGGAATTACTGATCATGTAGCCCATGGTGATGGTGCCTCTTGGTGTACACTAGAAGTCGATTTCTCACAACCTTAGGTATCGCTCAACGCTCCTCAACACAACTGTCTTCAGTCTCAGGTTCCAATAACATCTGAAGCACGCTATCCAGCCCCAGAGCCAGCCCCTCGGGTGTCAGCCGCAGATACAGGGATCAAACGGTTTTTGTCATGATGGTATGCATGGAATATGTGAGCATCATGGTTCATGTAAGCTGCAACTGTGCCGTATCAAGAATTGGAAATCCCTTTGTATGATCCCTAGTCTGGCCCCAAAGATTGGGTATCTAGACCGGTGCTGTACTTAGAGCGAACGGGATATTTGGTATACATCCTGGTCTCTGGTAAGAATTTGAGATGTAAGTATACATATAGTAACCATAGAGTTATCTGGGGTTGTGATGTGCGCGGGTACAGCGGGTCATGAAACACAGCTTCTCATGCTATTGACCTGGGGAGAGAGAACCCGTTGTCCAATGTTTCTTAACGAGTAGATCCTAAACTGTGCATTGAGTGTCAGCCATGTGATTATCCTGTTCTGTGCTGTGTCTGGAGACGCGTTGTTCAGTAGACGTCCTGTAAAACTCAATGGACGCTCATGCGTCGACAGTACTCCGGAGTAGAGTCCGTCAGTGATGTTCAATTCGTTATCCAGCTCTGAAGTCAACCCGCGACGGAACTTCGGTCCTCGCCATCCGCTTCAGAAGGCTCATACCACTAAATGTGAAACTCCTACTTTTGCAACTCCAATAATCCCTTACTCTGCAAGTACTCTACAATCTCCCTTACGCTATCCTCCACACTCTTCTGATCACTCCTGATGTGGATCTCGGCGTTCTCAGGCGCCTCATACGGCGCGCTGATGCCGGTGAATTCTGGGATCTTGCCTTCCCTTGCCTTCTTGTACAGGCCCTTGGGGTCGCGCGCCTCGGCGACTTCGAGCGGGAGGTCGACGAAGACCTCGACGAAGGCAAGTGGGGAGTCTTCGCCGGTGGTGACGGCGTGGAGGTCGCGCGCTTGCTTGCGGTCGGCTTTGTAGGGTGAGATGAAGGAGGTGATGGCGATTGTGGAGGAGTCGGCGAAGAGCTTTGCGACCTGTGGTAGAAATGATGTTAGCTAGTGCATTTTTTTTGAGGATATAGATTGCGCATAGTCACGTACCTCAGCAATCCGGCGGATGTTCTCATTTCGGTCCTTCTCTGTGAATCCAAGGTCCTTGTTCAACCCAAATCGTACATTGTCGCCATCGAGACGGTATGCCGCGAATCCCAGGTGCAGCAGATGCTGCTCAAGCGCCGTCGCAATTGTCGACTTGCCAGATGCGGAAAGACCGGTGAACCAGATGGTGAAGCCCTTTTGCTTGCGGAACTTGTTGCGCTCGTCGCGCGAGAGAGACGGGTGCCATGTAATGTTGCTGTCCAAGAATTAGTTTGTGTGTTCAGAGTTGCGCGCAGTTGGCGGGGTAGTCATGGTGGGGCTCACGTTGCCATTTTGTATGTCGAGACTTGAGATTTTGGTTTTGATGGGGGGTATGAAGAGGTTGAATAAGGGAAGTGGAAGTTTGCTGCAGATTTAAGATGTTTTTAAAGTGTCAATTGACGGGCGGATGGCTGATTGGTATCCTCAACACGATATTTGGGTCCTCAGCAAACATCGAATTCTTTTAGCGTAGATGACGTGCGAAGCTTGACCGACGCTGCAGGTGGAGCGGGTAAGGCTGAGAGTGGGTAAGATGCCTCATGTAGGTAACAGCAGTTCCTGCCAAAGTATAGCGCGCGAGACATGCTCCGATTGTGCCCGTGGGGCGTACATCGATTCCAAAGTGCTTCCAGAATAAATCTTGCATACAGTAGCCGGCTACACGGCAAAATTTTAGATCCAACTACATGCCCTTCAAAATCCATTCCCGCCAAAACTCGCAGCCCTCGCTCTATGCCTCCTCTCCCTCTCTCTATTCTCATCCCCAAAACCATGTCCAGTCTGCACCTCCCCTCTACTCCCACTCTTCTTCAAGCCCCCAGTACCTGCAGGTAAAACAGGATCAAAAGGCTTCCTCCTCCTAACAAGCTGGTATCCTCTATCCAATTCAACTTCAATCGCACATCTAATCTTGAGTGCCGTCACTGCTGGCCATACACTCCTTTCTCCCTTCAGTATCCAGTAGTCGATCGCCTCTTTGGTAGGGTTCTCGAGCAGCTTGAAGAAGTCGCTAGGTGTGAGTTCAGGTACCAGCGTGAGACTTGGGCCTGGGATGTTTTCGTCTAGGAGGAAACGACGGATAGAAGGGGGGAGCAGACCCAGTTCATCCATTTGTTGTAATCTGTGCTGTATCTCTAGGACTACGAGACGAAGTATAGGCATGCTGAGGCGCCAGCGTCCGTCTTGTTTGGGATTTGGATGGTGTGAGTCTGAGCGTAGGAAAGGTGCGAGGTATGGTCGGGCTTGCGAGACGATGAAGTGGTTTACGTTGAACAGTTCGCCGATGCGATGGAGCGGGGATTCGCGGTCTCGGTACGAAGCGTGTGTGTAAGGACGGAAGGTGGTTTTCGAAGCTGGAGACCAAGGCACGATGTTGCCTTCCTCGTCTTTGCACATCATTGTTACGGAATGGTACAGAGTCGAGGAGGCCGTGGCGTTGGAGGCAAGTGCTGCAGACCAGATGAGCTGGGAATGTTAGCAGCTGCTTCGGGATGGAGAAGGAGCGGACCACGTACAACATTGGGAGCAGTAAGGTAGTTCAAAAGGTTCGGTATACCTCCACCACTAGTAGTTGTGACGGTGATATTCAGCACCCTCTTTGTTCTGGTGTATGCTTCTTCGAACGTCAGATCACCAACGTTCGCCCTCAGGACATCTTCCAGGACACCGACATCCAAGAAATGCCCTTCTTTCCACCATCTTTTAGCACGACGTATGAGCGTCCCTATCCATGCAGTCCCCCCAGCGCCTTTCCTATAAGGACGATTGGTGAAGGCTGTCAAGTCGATGGTGTTGCCTGTCAGGAACTCCAATAGCTCGTCTTCGGTATGCACGCCCACCAGCGCGGCTATCAGAGCACCTGTGGCAGTCCCGGCTATGATTCGTGGTAGCAATCCACGTAGATGGAGCGCCTTCACAACACCAAGATGACACATGCCAAAGACCTGTCCGCCCTGCAGCACCAAGACAGATCTGCCGAACGCCTGCCTTGTGTCATGGAGAACATCCAGCTTCGCCTGGTTTGTCAAGCCATTGTCCGAGTTTCTCGATGTAGGGTACTGGGTGAGGTTCTCGATGGCGTATGCGACTTGGGTGACATAGTCTTCGATCAGCAGCTTCGTGCCCGCGTATGCGCGATTATACAGGTTCGACGCGGTTATATTGCCGAGGTTGCGGACGAGACCGCTGCGAAGGAGGTTTATGAGGCCGAGGATATCGTTATCTTCTTGAGCTTCGTAGATGGCGGAGAGGCGCTGATGGATGAGGCGATGGTCGTAGTCCTTGCTTATGGCAGTCTGTCGCCTGTGGATCTGTTAGCAGCTGTCCATTGGGATGGGCCTATTCAGGATAGGACGAAAGGACTGCTTACCACATGTCGTAGTCGAGCACCTCGTCCAGCTTATACGCAGCAGCCTCCCACTCCTCGAACAGGCGCGCATCGCTCACAGCTTCGAGCAGCAGATCCCGCTGGCTCTTCTGCACCCACCACGCGTATAATTTCTTCAACATATCAGCATTACATCCGAAGACACATCAATTGATCCAGAACGGTCTTTGAAACAGCAGAGGGAAGCTGACGCACTCGTTGCCAAAAGAAAGCCACGTCAAAGAAGCACAGCAGGAAGCTCCAGAGCGCGCCCGAAACGACGCTGAGGGCTTCGTTCATGGCGTTGAGCTATTTGGGATAGTGATCGGCTGACAGCGCCGCGGTGGCAGAAGTCGCATGTTCATTCGTCGCGTCGGCGGAGAGGTGGTGCTATCGAGCAAGTGGGAACGCTTGTCGGACTTGATGCGCGCTTTCACATGCAAGTCAGCTGGAGACGTCAGGGTGCCCAGGTGTGGCTGAAGCTACCCGCGACACTAGCCACGTGGCGTTAGAGGCATCGGGGCAATTCATCGGGGCAATACCAATGCGGGGTTCTTAATGAAGACCTCGGGAGGGCACGAAAGCTTGACTTGACATTGCATCTTCTCTGCACTTATCCAAAAGGTTTCCAATATGCCCGGCTCATCTCTTTGGCTGCTTCCGCCAGCGAACCATACTTTGAGCACAGTCCTACCCTGTCTCATCGACAAAACATCGAAGCAGTTCGGCTCGCCTCACCGCTTCATTCCCCATATCACTCTGAGTTCAGAGATAACAGCATCCAAGCATGAGCCAGATCCTCAGGCCTGGCTCGACTCACTCGATCTGCCGCCTATCAAGGATGTGATTGTAAAGTTCGAACGTCTGGGCAGCGAAGACGTCTTCTTTCGGAAACTGTACATCAAGTGCGAGAAGCTTGATGGGATCAAGCAACTAGCAAAGCAGTCCCGGAAGCAAGTCGATGGATTTGAAGAGGAAAGCAAGGCGAAAGCTTGGGCCGAGGACGAGTACAATCCACATCTGAGCTTGATGTAGTAAGTACAGCTGCTGGCATCTACGTATGCACTAGGATTAATTATTGTAGTCACGACATTCCTCAAATCGACGACGCAGGTCTGGCATCAGTGGATTTGCTTGGTGTTAATCTTGACGGGACAGGAGACCTCGGAGGTTGGACTGGCGGCAGGGTGGTGATAGTACCTACCGACAAGTCGATTGATCAGTGGCAGCCAATAGGTGAAAGGGTGTTCTGATGTAGTGACATACAAGTCACCACATCATAGCCAGTGGAATGTGTTTTGCACATGTCTCACGAGTAGATTGGGTCGAAGAAAGGAAGGCCATCCATGTATCTAAGTGTGTCTGGTGTCATGACCACAATCAACACTCCAGTAAGAATTCAGTCCCATTGAAGATTCAGGTATCATGAATAAGTGAGACGTGTGTGGAGGTTGTAGTGATTAATTCATTACTAGGCTAATTATACAATGTCATAGGAAATAGTCCTTGGTATCTCGCATGCAGTCGTGATGATCGCGCGTGGTGCAGAGTGCAGCAGAATGCATCTATTTCATGAAGCCGGCCTTGCCGTCACCGTCGGCATCAACCTCTGTGGAAAATGGTCAGATGAAAGGTCGAAGAGAGGAGTACTGGCAAAACTTACTGGGGTTGAGCTTGTCCATGATAGAGGGCTTCTTGTGACCTATTTAGTGTTGGTTTGATGTTCTTCAAGGAGTTTCTTCGCTTCCTCTTCGGAGGCTTGGGAGTGGGGAACGGCTCTGGACTTGTCTTCGGTCAGGGCCTTAGGCAAGCTACCATCCTCGTTGGGACGATGCTCCATATTGCCCTGATCGGTACCGCCGACAACATGTCCACTGGGGTCTTTCGTACCTGTAGCGCCCTCGTTGTCTGCGAAACGTTAGCATGAGGTCGTGAGATTGTATTGGAGTGCTAAACTTACGGCTGCGAGCGGGGTCGTGGAGGTCGTGGCTGTCGACCTTGCCGTCGTGGTTGCGGTCAGCACCGTGGCCGACAACACCTCCCTGGGTGGAGGAGCCGGTCAGGTTGCCCTGGCCAGCCATGCCGCGGTCAGTGTGGGCGGTGTTGGAGTGGCTGCCAGTCAGGTCCTTGGCGGAGACCTTGCCGTCGTTGTTGCGGTCGAGGGGGTTGCTGGTACCGGAGTGGTGGTTGGGAGCAGCGTTGTAGTCGCCGTGGCTGGCGTGCTCGTGGCTGTGGGTACCGCCAGTCTTGTGGGTAAGACCAGCGGCAGATCCAATGCCACCGGCACCGCCGATGTTCTTGGGGACACCCTCGAACTCGTCGTAGCGCTCCTCACGGCCAGTAAGAGCTCCGCCCTTGGCCTTGAACTGCTCCATGGTCATGGCTGGGAGAGCAGTAGTCTCATGGTGGGTAGCCTTGTTATGGTGAACCTCATGGATGGGGACGGTGGTGTGGACGACGTTGGGCTGGATGGTCTCCTTCTGAACAACGGGCTGGATGGTCTCGTGGATGTGCTAGATGACGTCAGTCTTGGTGGGGGTTGTTGTTGTTTGTTTGAAAACTTACGTGGTGGACGTGCTCTCCGCCAACAGTGGGGGCAACGCTCTGGCTGTGGGTAGTGTCCTCGACACGGCGCTCGTCAGCGAAGCGAGCCTGGTCGTCGATTAGAGCCCTCTTAGTGGCATCGGCATCGCGGTGGTCGAACTCGCGGTGCTGAACAGCTCCGAGCTTAGCAGAGTGCTGTTCTGGCAGAACCTCGCGGTCCTGGACGGGCTGGACAGTGCGGTGGTAGTGGTCTTGGTGAACCTCCTTGTCAATGGCGGTGTTGACCTCCTCGTGTACGTGAGGCTTGATGACCTCGTGCTGGACAGCGGGAGCAACTGCCTCGTGGACAGTGGTGTCATGGTGACCGGAGCGGCCCATGAAGTCGGTGATAGCTGCTTTCGCCTTGTCCATTTTGATAGTTGTGTGGTTGTTGTTGGGTGATTAGGGTGGTTTGGTGGTAGTGGATTGATTGTTGGTGAGTGTGGAGGAGTTGTTGTGTGTGGTGTGATGATGATGCTCCCAAGGCGCTGCAGTGCCTTCTTATACAGTGAGGGCGCTAGTGGGACAGATGCACGACGACGTAATGGGGGGTTCAGTTCCAGGTAAAGTCGGCAGTCGCAGGCCGAATTCCTTGTTCCCAAGGGTAAGAGCCATCATCATGGGGCAGCAACAGTGGGTTGAGGCTATACGGGCCTCGATCGATGCTCACAGCAGCCTCGATTGGTTGGCCCACAGGGCGCCACAGCGACGTGATATGCGTCAGGGCCCTTAGTTCACTGGTGCTAGACTACATGGATAGCGCTTAAGACGGCGTTGGTACGCTTGACAATGGAGATGGCCACTATGATGCACCCAGTGGTGTCGTTCCACGCCTACCGCAGCCTAGCCGCTATGATGTAGTCATGCTGCGTGTCCAAACAGGAATTGGGCTTCACGAAGGATTCAAAGTGTCGCAACTCTCTGGATGAGGTGCTCAAAGGGTACAAGTGCTATGACAATTCGGGGAGGAAGAGCCCGGCATCTCCAGTTGGTGTCAAAGAGATCGGCGCTAGGGTCGTGCTCCTGCCATTCTGTGACAGCAGGCCCGTGCTGCTTCCCGGTGGAACTTCATAACACCTCGTAGGAAATCTCAAAAGTTGATCTCTTCACTGCAAATTTCATTGACCCCTCTCACAGCCCGCCTGCATCTGCGTGTGTCTCGGAAATACCGAAGGCCTGGCTGCATCTAGGTGCAGGCTAACACGATCGCCCGTCCTTTGGTACGCTAAGCTGATCATCAGTGGAGCCGCCCGCGACCAGACTCCCCCTCCCTGTCGTCATGCCGCCTGGATCTCCGCTGTGACATACCAAAGTGGCAATGGATGCTGTTTGCTTTTGTGTGATTTCGTACCACCGGTACCCCGACTCATTAGCCAGACACCGCCAAACTCAAGTACCGCTGGCTACGTCATGCTGAGTCGCCACGCATGCCGTTGCCGTGGGCCAAATGCGACAAGCTGTGCGGGCAGCTCGAGCAGTCTCAATCGAGATGAGAAAGCTTCACGTAGGGACAAGTCTGGACCGCTCCGGGCAGGCCGCCAACATGCGGGAACACGACTGCGGCCTGTGCTACTCAAGCCACCAGCTCCATCCGTCGTGACACGGCATCACTGAAGCTATACTTTTTCGCAAACCGTTGCGACAAAATGTCTGGAAGCTCCAAATATACACCCTAGCTAGCTGACATGCACACTCTCCAGACTTCGGCTTGCTCCTGCCGGAAAGTTTGAATGGACAACTGTGCGCAAGTGCTGTGAGGTCATCCACCCTAACAATGAGTACCGTGCCTCGTGAAAACAGACAATAGATCGGCATCTCACATAGCTCCCACATCCACTTGTCCATTTCTGCTCACAAACCCATCGACACGATGGAAAAGATCGAAGAGAAGCTCAAGTCCGTTCTCCACCGGAGGAAGAAGTCGACGCCCACTCAGTCCCCTCGAGCGTCGTACGAGCATCCTGATCAGACTAGCCCGCGCACTGAGCAGCACCCAGCATCACCTCTTAGCAGTCGGCAGCAAAAGCCCACGGCCCCCAATGATGTCTCTCACCCGGAGACTCGAGGTCAACCACGCGACTCTGCCTATCACGATCGCCGAGCGAGCCATGCAGTAGCAACTCCTAGCACGGGCTCCAATGGATCCAATGGCTCTATGGCGGACGATTACAGATCGTACCTTCCTGCGCTTGTTTCCGAAGAGCATTCAAATGTCGAGCCCAGCGTTCCAGATAGGCATCTGCGCTATAGGCCATCGACAGATGGCGAGCGATCAAAGGCTCTTCCGGCCCTACCCAGTATGTTTGAGAGCGCAATTACAATATTGGCGACTCAGTGCTAACATAACATCAGACACATTACACCATCCCCATGGCGAAGTCAGACGATCAATCGACGTAGACGGTCCAGGCCGCACCATACGCGCAGTGCCAACCGAAGCTCCCACCGACAAGTATGCAGTGGGTAGTCACGATATCAACAACGGCGGCTTGGATGATGACGTTCGATCGCGCGAGCAGCGCTCTTCCTCCGACAAACATGGATTGAGCAAGAGTGGCCAGCCTGTACCAGGACTTACCAACAATGATGCGTTGGCCGTGAAACCTCTCCCGGGTCTCGCGATCACGAAGGACTATCAGGGCACGGATGGCGCGCATGATTGGAAAGAGAAACAGCAAGCGATCCTTGCGGGTGTTGTGAACCTCAACAACACTGTAGACACGGATCGAGACACTACGGTCGCCCCTGGTAAGCTTTGATCCTCCCAAAGTCACGACATGACTAACAAATTGACAGCCGTTACACACGAGATCATCAAACCACACGAACACGAGGTTATCCAGCAGCAGATCCACCGCGAGATCCACAACTACACATACTATCATCGACTGCAGCCCGTTCTCCAGACCGAGGTTCTTCCACCCCGTCATTTCATTCCCAACCCTGATGGCGAGGGCTTGATCGAAATATCCGCAGACGAATTGCCGAACCGCACTGGCAAGAACAGATGGTGGGATATCGTTCAGAAGGAGCCGAACCTTCCGGCAACTCCATTCGAATGGCGCACAGAACCGCAGATCATCGAGGGGAAGCCATATATGACTGAGGAGGGCTTTGAACGCAGGGAGACAACCATCATTTACCCACCAACCCTAGACGATATGTCGCGCTACCGCGGCCTGGTCCAGCCAGTGCACTTCGATCACAAAACTGGGGAGCGTTGGTTGGGCGAAGTCACGACCGTAGAGAAGCTGAACCGGGAACTGGGCCGTCAAGGGGATGAGGATTTCATGACGATGAAGGATGTCACTGCGGACCTGCCAAAGATTGCGTCCAGTCCCTCTGTCAAGCGTAAGCCTCTTGGCCGGGATTCTCTCTAGCGACTGTATTGCTATCGACTATCACACATGCAAAAGTTCAGCGAAGGCGCTATTGGGGAGGGTTGGTTTTATCAGACACTGTACCTTTAACGTGTATACTTAGTGTCCAATGACTACATTATGAGTAATTCAAAATCGATGACCTAACGTCAACGTAGGCTCCAGGGTGTTTGGCGACCTCGGGATAAACCACACCTGGGCATGCTCTCAGATTGACCAATGACAGCGCGACAGCCTCATGATCCCAGGTCGGCACCTGCAGCTGTTAAGAGAGCCGCCGCCCTTGTTGCTGCTGTAAATTCTCGTCTAAGCTCTCTTTCCTATTTTCGAAGCGTCTGCTCACATCATACTGGAATGTTGTCGTAACGGTACCCGGCATCGCAATGTCGCGCCTTCCTCGCATGAGAAAAGCGGCTGGTCGCCCGACGATCCATAGGCCGAGAACGCGGAATATCGACACAGTAGGAAGGCGACGGCAGATTCGATGTGCCAGATTGCTTGTTCGGTATACGTAGCTCCAAGCTTTATGAATCCTTGGACGCAACATCTCGAACATGCAGGATGGCAGAGGTATCCTTGGCCTATTTGGACCTCTCTGGTATGCGCGCCGCGTTCTTCCAGGCGAACAACATCTGACATCTGCTGACAGCATGAATATCTACCCTGGCGATCGAGATATCGGTTTGCTAAGTGAGCAGGTGGAAGCCATCGTCTTGTATCGTTCAGAGAGGCGAAGCATGAGCAAGGAACACCGCCAAGTGTCAGCGACAGTTGGTAACGCGTCTCTCTGCATTCACCGGTAAGCTGAGGCTTATCTGACGAAGGTGTATCGCTTATTGCTTGGATGCAGAAAGAGGCTGGCTCAAGCGACGCAGGACTGATAGCTTGACAGCCATCACGCCTTCTCGTGGCGTTGTAGCATCACATGGTAACAACAGTCGAGCGATGCATCTTCGTCCCCGCGGGGAGAGAAAGCGACACACGATTTTACGTATCTACCGAGTCAGAGTCTCGACTCACGGCAAGCAGCTTCTAGTTCCTTTCGGCGCAGCGGGCGGCTGTCAGTTTGAGGACTACGAGGTGGCTGGGTCCGAGCTAGTGGCTGTCTCCGAGGTATGAACAAGCCTCTTGCAGGCAACGGAGACAACGCAAAGCCTCGAAGCAAGCCTGGAGCCAACCCGCCAGCCCAGGAATGCCAAGATAGCTTCAGCCGTTCAGAAAATGACGCGGACTCGGTCATTGGAGTAAAAGCGCAGGCCAAGATACACTCAAGAGATGGAGGGGTTTTCGTTCCACAAACTGGGTGGAAGGATTCGGAGAGGCCGACAGGGAAGACGATAGGTATGGTTCGATAACAGCTGTTGCGCAAGCTGGACATGCGAAAGAGGCCTCAAATGCACGACAGAAGAAGAAGTAACGTTCTTGAGGGTACCGTATGTCGTGACACTGCTGCACGATGTACTCAGGCCCCGCTTGGGGGCTCAAAGACAGCTGGTCTAGCGATGCCGGGTATCTCAATCCCTGCACCCACAAACGACGTTATCGGGATTTTACCCAACACGCGGCGTACGAGACAAGGGTTCACCGACCATCGATATCACTCTGGGTGAGCATCCGTTTGGCCAGTGAAGGACCGAGGACGTGAAATACGCCTACTGCAGCCCCGCCATGGCAAACGCCAAAATCACCCATCAGTAATTCGCCCTCCACTAACGTTAGGCCCGAATTTTGGAGAAGCGGGATATTGTGAATGCCCAGTCTGCCTAGCGCGATCTACAGCGTTCACCACGAGGAAGCTCATGCAGGGTTCCCACTCGCGCTCGCTAGGGCAGCTGAGAGGGTTATTTAACAGGTCGCTCCCCGACTTTTCTGCTATCTTGCACGACGACCCTCAGCCTTGCCTGCTATCTATAAGACAACTCAACCGGCTATTGGTACATGGCTTTCGTAGTACAGTACTTTGCCCTGCTTCTCAAATCTATACACTGAAGCCCAGCCTTGAGGTTTTCGACATTCGAATACAATGGCCTCTTACGGCCAAGACTTTGGTGCTGGCGGACCCTACGAGGTAAAGAACACGGGCTATGTTGCTACCGACGAGGAAAAGAATCATTACGATGTCGGCCCCCGTCATCCCAGTATTGTCGGATCTGTGAAGGCAGTCACCGATCAGACGCACCGAACGCTCAAGAGCAGACACATCCAGCTTATCGGTATTGGAGGAACCATTGGTACTGCCTTATACGTGCAGATTGGCCGAGGTTTGATGAACGGAGGACCTGGAAGTTTGTTCATTGCATTCTCGTTATGGTATGCAATATTTCCCTCGCCATCCACGGCGATGAGCTAATGCTAACGTTTCATAAGGTGTACTGTCATTCTGGCTGTGACGCTCAGTGAGACTCTCCATCCCTTACTTTCCAAAGCGACAACTTCTTCCCATTGCGACAATGCCCATGCGCTTTATCCAATACCCCAAAGCACCTTTTTCCATCGCTCGCGCTAAGAATGCCGCGCACCAGCTAATGCAATTACCCAGGTATCGCTGAGATGGTCACATTCCTCCCTATATCTTCGCCGTTTATCCGATTTGCCGGAAGATTTGTGGATGATGCTTTCGGTTTCGCGGCTGGCTGGAACTTCTTCGTGTTCGAAGCTGCTCTTGTGCCCTTTGAGATTGTGGCTTGCAATGTCATCATCGGCTTTTGGAGTGATGTCGTGCCTACAGGCGCCATCATCGCGATCGTTCTCGTGCTCTATGCGTACGTTAATACCCCACATCCTGGTGCTGGCAACTCATGCGTTTGGTACTTTGGCGTCTACGTTGGAGCTGCCATGCAGCTGTGTGCTTAACCTTCGCCTTGGATTCTTCAAATGGATATATCCAGATCAAGTGCTAACCTCAGCGCAGCGTAATCAACATGATGGCCGTCAAATGGTACGGCGAAACCGAGTTCTGGGCCGCCATCGGCAAAGTCCTCCTCATCATCGGCCTGCTCATCTTCACCTTCATCTCCATGTTGGGCGGCAACCCGGAGAAAGATCGGTACGGTTTCCGCTACTGGAAGAACCCTGGTAGTTTCACAGAACTCTATGAACCAGGTCAGCTCGGTCGCTTCCTGGGCTTCCTACAGTGCCTGATCCAGGCTTCCTTTACGATTGCCGGACCAGATTACGTTTCCATGGCAGCAGGAGAGACTGAGAACCCGCGCAAAGTCATGCCCCGTGCCTACAACGCCGTTTTCTACCGTCTGACCACATTCTTCGTGCTCGGCTCGCTGGCTGTCGGTATCAACGTGCCCTACAACGATCCAGAGCTGATCGCCGCTTTCCGAGACGGCAAGCCAGGTGCAGCAGCTTCACCCTACGTCATCGCCATGAACCGACTCCGTATCGAAGGTCTACCTCACGTTGTCAACGCTGGTGTCCTCGCCTCCGCTTTCTCCGCCGGAAACTCCTACGTCTACTGCGCGTCCCGTTCGCTCTTTGGTCTCGCTCTAGAAGGAAAAGCGCCCAAGTTCCTCACCAAGTGCACGAAGCAAGGTGTACCTTTCTACTGCGTCTTCTTCGTCCTCTTGATTGCCCTGCTGTCCTTCCTCCAGCTCAGCGAGAACTCCGCTGTCGTGCTGAACTGGTTCGTCAGCTTGGTGACGGCATCGCAGTTGATCAACTTCAGCGTCATGTGCTTCACCTTTTTGAAGTTCCACAAGGCGTGTCAGGCACAGGGTCTCGATCGAGACACGCTGCCATACAAGGGTATTGGCCAGCCCTACGCCGCATGGTACGGCCTTGTATGCACCTTCATCATGACGTTTGTCGGTGGCTATACTGTGTTCCTGAATGGCAAGTGGGCTGTCGCTGATTTCCTGTTCTCATACTTGATGTAAGTCTCCACCCCATCACCCCCTTCTGTTCCTACCATGACACAATACTGACATGAAATACAGGGTCTTTGCCTTCCCCGTTCTCTTCATTTTCTGGAAGGTTCTCAAGAGGACTAAGTGGGTTTCACCGTCTGAAGCGGATCTTGTGACTGATCTCGCGGAGATTGAGGAGTACCATCGTACTTTTGTGGAGAAGCCAGAGACTAATGCTTTCAACCGTGTCTTGGACAAGATGTTTGGATAGACTCTTGTTGCAACTGTTTTCATGGCGCCCTTTGGGGTACTTCAAACTAGTGCTTCTTGCTTTGCTTTGGCGATTGCGTACTGCTCTTGGAAGAGGATGCGTTACGCCCATGTGGGTGGTCTATACGAGAATTCATGATACTACCACGAGAATTTATGATATTAACGAACATGAAGAAACCATATCCTTGAACTGTAGCTCAATATCTTCCATTCTCAACAACATACATCAAGTCATAACTAGGGTATCATCATAAACTCCCCCGATAAACTCCTAAAAAAGACCACCTAGTCAAAACCCCACGCATCATAGTGAGCGCCAACTGTTCAAAACAAGAATGTCGGTACATCATCTAAATCTGCAGCCTTCCGTTTTGGCTCCTTCTCGTTCTTCTCCCTTTCAGCCTTGCGTTTGGTAATGCGCTCCGAAGTCTCCTTACTGACACCGCTGTTACCACCACTGCCGCCCTGATCTCTGACCGACGCAATTCCATCGAACGAAGCACTTGATCGTCCAAGCTTAGCACCGCCGCGATCGTCCGCGGAATCGAAGGATTGGGAATACTTGCTGACACTTGATGCGCGCGTTGCATGCGATGTCTCAACAGGCTGCTGCGGCGAAGACCCCGACAATGCCCTACTTTTCTTCGTCGGTACCAAATCGTCGAGCATATCAAAGGGTGTTGCGCGACTTATGCGTGAGCGAGATTTTGCTGCAGGTGTAGGTGGCGCAGGCTTAGCGAAGACGGGGTTCGGATTGGGTGCAGGAGACGAGGCAGACTTTTGCCCTTTTGCTGCACTGCTGTTGCGGACTGGGGTGGGTGTGGTGGTGGATCTGGAAACGGGCTTTGCTGACGGGCGCGGTGCGTCTAGATCGTCGCTGTCGTAGTCGCTATCTTGTGCTGCGTATTTGCTAGGCGTTGGGTGAGGCCTGGATGTCGCAACGTATCTTGGGGCCATGAACGAAGATGTGAGATTGAACCGGCTTGATAGTGCGTTACGCCCTTCTTGCTCATCTTGGTCTTCCTGCGACGCAAACACGTCGCGGATCGCTTCCTTCTGCTTCAGCTCTTGGACCCTGGCCTTCTCCTTCATCTCGCTGCTAGTTGACCTCTTTGCATTTGCAACAACGGGCCTGGTAACCTCAGCAGCTTCTTTCTTCTTCTCTTCGATCATCGCCTTAAGCTTCTCGTATTCGGCGATGTGCAAGTGTCGCGAGAAGAGCTTTGCTGTCTCCAGGAACTCGTCTTCCACCATCATCCACTCGTCGTCGCGCAGATCGAACTTCGACAGACATTTGTGCATTTTCTCAACATGCGGCGCCTCAAGCTCATCAATGGGAGGTGGTGATGATGACCCTCCACGTTTCCTTCCCAATGCATCTTTGGTCCTTGTCTTAGTCCGTGGCGTTGTGGGTGCTGTTGGAAGGCCGGGAAGGTCATCGTCGGACCCATTTGATCTCGTTCTGCTCCTGCTGCTGTCTGCCAGCACAGTGCCATCGAAGAAGTCGTCATCTATGTCAGCCGTAGCGCGCGCTTTCGTAGCTTTCCGCGATGATGCTGGCTTGGCTTGGGTTCGACTTCCGCCACTCTTGCTTGCCCAAGGTAGCTGACGCGGCATGATGCCCAAGGTTTTGTAGATCAGCCTTGTATTCGCAGGAGTTGAGAGTGTAGAGGACGGTTTGCACGCGACATAATGCCCATAGTCTGCAAAGAAGCAGCTTAGAAGGTCATATAGCCACAAACACGTCCGAAAGGGTCGAAAGCGCGTGCACGTAGGTGAATTGTTCGCGGTCGCCTGGGCACGTGCTATGACGCGCTAGACCCTGCCGGTTCCGTCCACGGGTCGGACCCACTTTCCTGGGATTGCGCCCTTCCGTTCCGATCTAATCTGTGACTTTGAACGTGCTCTCCGCCTTCAATTCAAAGTGCCACGTTTCGCTTCCATGAGATTCCGTGACGCTCGATGCTTGCCTAGACATCGCGTACCTAGGTACTGATGGGGTCCTTGCTGGTACAGCTGTTGGCATCGAGTTGGTCTCGCTCGACGCTGCAGCTTACACCGAACAACACACTACCATAACCGTCTTAACAACTTAACAACAAACCCGCGCGCGCGTCTTTTCGTCTAAGGGCCATCGAATGCTCTAAATTGTTCAATTGACTCGACTACCCTCCTTTGAGAACAGCTGGCCTGGCTTTGTGTTGACTCACAACGACCCCTCTTTCCATTCGCAATGTCCATGTTCCGCAGGCCAGGAGATTCGTCGTCAAGTTCGGCAACTTCTGATGATGAGAGCGAATACGAAGAAGCAAGCGAGTCGCATCAGGATAGCGTCCTGTCACGAATCCAAACTCTAGATTCTGCTACTTCTGGACATCCGTCTCTTGGGCCCCATCGGCCTCCTCTAGAAGTTCGGCAAAACTCAGCACAAAACGTTCGAGATTTGTTGTTACATTCAATGCTTGAAAAGCAGACTATTCAGCAAGCTGCGGAGCAATTAGGAAAAGATCCCTCTGATCCGGAAGTACAACGAGTAGGAAGAGACGCCTATAAGGAAATCGCTCGTCAGATCTCCAACAATGTAGACGACGCCTACGCGAGCGATGAGATGCAGGGTCACCGAGCAACTGCGAATCAGGGAATCCATCGATTGATCCAGGGCAACCTTAGCAAACTTGCGCCAATCCCCGAAGGAACTTCACAGGCGCTCGTCTCGCGACCAGGAACTGCGATCCATCCACCCTTACCTCAACAACCATCTCTTGGCTTCGATGTTATATCTGGTATATCAGCTCCCGTACAGCTGCAGCTACGTGGATATCCTCATCTGCAAACGGACCGCTACATTCGGGAGTTTTCGCAGCTCGAAATTGTAGGGAAGGGCGGATACGGCAAGGTCTTCAAAGCCAAACACAAACTAGATGGCTCATTGTATGCTGTAAAGAGGATACCGGTGAGCCCGTCCAGGGTTGCAAGAATACAAGAGCATGGGCCCGAAGAACTGGAAAGCATGCTTGAGGAAGTTCGTTCGCTCGCTCGGTTCGATCATAACAACATAGTTCGGTATCACAACGCTTGGCTGGAGTTCACCACAATGCCGGCAGATCCTGTGACTGCGCCGGAAGTCACGATGTTGCGCAACGACCGTCTTTTGGATGATCGACCAGCATTTCCGTCATTTTCACCAGGCTCGGGTGATCTGCATTCTCAGCTAGATAGCCTGACGATGGACAATCCCTTCGCGAGCACCGAACACAGCAATAGCGCGGGAATCATATTTGAGTTCAGCGAATCTGGACAGCAAGTGAACGAGACCAGGAACGAGAACGTTCATATATCATACAAAGAGACTTTGAAGCAGACAAGACGCACGAAACGTCGGGGTAGCCAGGCAAGCCAGAACACCATAGCTACAATATCGTCGACAAAGTCCAGGATGAGCGCCGTGGAAGATGTTGACGAAGACGAAGAAGAGGACGATGATGTTGAAAATATACCCAGATTACATATGCCGTATTCTCAAGAGTCGCATTCCGAGATGTCGGACAGCATGATATCGAACAGCGATGCACCCCGCCACTTGATCCAAAACCAGAGCCTTGGACCAGTCCTGACACTAAATGTGCAAATGAGCCTCTGCGAAACCAACCTTGCCGCTTTCCTCTCTTCCGATCAACACTCACCCACAACACACGCGATCGAACAGCATTGTTTCCACCCCTGCGTATCGCTGGAGTTACTGGACAACATCGTTTCCGGAGTCGAATACCTCCATGCACAAGGCGTAGTTCACCGCGACCTCAAACCAGCCAACGTCTTCATATCGCTCTCACGAGCGCGCCACGCCCCATACGGATCCGTCAATGTTTCGAGCTGCACTACGTGCCCGAAGCGTGATCACCTACACATGACGCCGCGCATCGGAGACTTCGGGCTTGTCGCGGCGCTGAGCGACAGCTGCACTGTATCGGATACCTTCAAGCCTGTGGGTACGGAGTTTTACCGTCCCCACACAGGCAGTGGCATTAATGAGAAGCTCGATGTCTTCGCTCTGGGTGTCGTAGCGTTTGAGATGATTCAAAAGTTCGACACGCGTATGGAGCGGATATCTGCTCTTACGGAGCTGCGCCGAGGGGTCTTTCCGGATGGCTTCGCGCAAGGTCTGGGTGATGTAGGCGACGACGTGCAGCAACTGATCAGCGACATGGTGCAAGGAGAGGAAGGGAAGCGGCCAGGATGCGAAGATGTGCGGATCGAGATTCAAAAGCTAGTACGTGCTTTGAAGATGTGAGTCGGAGTCTCCATCACTGGGCGGAGGTGTCGCATTGGGAGGCGCAGAATAGATACCCACGCATCTGTGGTGACTTGTGCAAGTCGATTATATTGCATCGTAGCTATCATGACATGGAGTTCCTCTCCAAATGTCGTTCAACTCATGTCCGCGTTTTGATTGTGGTTTTCATAATGATGCACCTGTGTCGTAGGTGGGCGGAAAGGCCCAAGACTCCCCACTTTTAGAGGCCACTCTTACCCCGCAGTCTCCTCGCTTGGGCTACCAGAAGCTCACAACCTTCGCACAAGTTCGCAGAGCGACGACGACTATGCAGCCTCTGGGCTGCATACTCATCTGTGATTTGTATTATCAATATATAATTTTTAATTCCAAAATTTGCCACCTGTAACGGGTCTCAGCCAGAAGACATTCCGTTTCCAAATCCGGCTTACTGTCAATACTTTAACGGGAGCCCAGTTCGAGTCCTGTGGTGTCCTTTAATCCACTCACTTGGGTAACCAGTGATGCTGGAGGGACCTAAGCAATGAATACAACTTGACGAGGGAAGCAATTCCGCAGTCTAGTATTCACCACGGGACGGCGGCGCTGGATTACTCCTATTAGGGTTGGAAGTCGGGTGACGGGTTGGGGTGTCCACTGGTATTTTGTTTTTGTCTTTTTGCCTAGATCTTCTTTTTTGTTTTTTATCTACCTACCTACCAACCTATATGCACGCACATACGGAGAACAGTAGTTAGCAGCGCCTGCTGTCGTATCTTCTGCTTTGCATTTCTCTTTTTGCATCTATTGCATCGCACTTTCAGTAGCCTCTGCACGAGAAAATTGCTAAGAAGAATACATGGTATTACATATCTACATTCGCCAAAGCAGGTCCCTTTGTCGCCGTCCAGCAGCAAGATGAACCAGCATCTCCACTGCTAGCACGACCTACCCCTTAATTCAACGTCCGCCTCCACTCATCCATGGCATCAAAAAGCGCCCCCAACCTCACCCCGTCCTCATCATCCCCCACAGTCAAAACCTTGACCACACTCCTCTTCCTCCCATGCCTCAAAGTAAGTTCCCTCAGCGGCGGCATAGAAACCAACATATCCCTCCACGACCCCTCTTTGCACCCCAATACCCTTTCATTCTGAATCCAAACATTAAAATCCATAACAACCGGATGGAAAACAATCTCTTGGCTCGTCCGTATAAGCCCCAAACACCTCCTCATCAGACTAATCTCATTGCGCACGCCGACTGAGAACCGGGTGCCAGACGGTTGCACCCCGTCTTCTATACTCTGCGGCGTAACATCCAGTTCAAAATCGAAGGTTGTGGGGACGAGATTGTAGATTTGCAGACTGCGGGACGGCTTCAGATACAGCATCTCCGCTAGTAAAGGGGAGTCGCCGGGGATGAGTTGCCGCCATACATTGCATACGCGCTGGCAGCGGAGTAAGTCCCAGAAGTCGAGGTGGATGAATACGTGCTGGAGCACCTCAACAGGGAGGTCTGTAATGCGTTTTCTTTGGCCGCTGCCCGGGTGCGTGGAACCTGCAGTGAACATTTGGCGGACGCGGTCCGCGTAGTTTCCTATGCTGCTGCGCCGGCTGTCTCGTGAGAGTTCCGAGTCCCAAGACCGCATGGAGGCTGTGTCTGCGTCTGCGGGGAGGCCGCTGATGGAAGGGTTGCGGATGGAGTGGCTTGAGGCGCTTTGTTTGCGCCGGTTGGTGGTGTCTTTGAGCTTTTCGGAGAAGCGCGTGAAGGCCGAGAAGTGGGATTGGTGGTGAAGATCCATCATGGCTTCTGTTCTGCTTGATTGTCGAGATGTATGACCTTGCTTCCGTCTGGAACTTTTATGTTTTTGATCTGGACTCCTCTAGGGCATCCAGTGTCGTTGTTAGCGCTTTTGATACGGGCTGTGTTATTAGACTTCAGCCTTGCGACGACGGTGCGGGGTTATATCGTGTAACGTAATTGCGGTGCAACTCTATATCTCTTGTGTCTCCGCGACGGTTGAATGGTACGGTGTTCTCTTATATCGTGTCCGAAGCGGTGTGAATGGCAGCATCGATCGAGAGAACGGGAAACGACGACAACGTGGAAGCCGCAGCTGACATGTCATTTACACTAGCCGAATGTGGCTGACTGACGCGGGATGGGGGCCGACAAAAGCAAGCAGAACACATGGGGGCTGGGATGTTCGGCGATGTTTGCTTGACGGCTTGCGAGGCGTATCAAGGAAAGTGAGGTTGACGGTCTGTTCTTCTGATACGCTGCAAGGGTAATGTTCCACTATTAATGCCGATGTTGGCCATCAAACGCACTATGATCCCGCCTTTCCGTGTGGGACTATGCATCATACATACGATACTGCGATAGTGGATCAAGATGGCATGTCGTGTTGTATTGATATATGTTTATATGGCTTCCCAAGCCAAGACCGTGTTGTTCTTGAACGGGCCGTCTGATGACGCAATGCCAGAGCATTGAAGTACACATGAAGCGGCGCATAGCACGCTTGTCGTGAGACGACTATTGTGCCAAATGCTCCAACACTCCTCCGGGATCCTCCTTGACGTACTCCTCGGCGCGGTAAGCCTATTTGGACGTGAAGTCTCAAAAGTGCCCACTGAGTCCTTGATTGAAGGTCGCTGCATGTTGTGTAGGCGTCACGCTCTCTTCAGCCGACCTCAATTGATGCCAATGCGCCAATGACTTCTTCAGCGACTCCTCCGTTTTCAACCACCATCTTTGTGACTTGTGTGATCAAACCTCTCTTCATGCCACCTCGGGGCGGTGTCCAGACACCTGAAGTCGCCAACAGTTCTCTTTGTGTGAGCGCATCGGCACTGGAGGTGGGCGCAGTACCGCCTGTTGCTGAGTTCATCGAGTTGGGTACGCCCGGGGGCGTAAGGTGGGACGGGGGGTCGATGGTCCGGATGGAGACGATGCGCGCGCCCGTTGACGAGGTTGTTGAATTTGTGCATGCGATCGCGAGGACTGCATCTGCTACTGCGAGCTCCTCCTTGGCGGGATCAAAGATGATGTTGGGGCCCACTGCCATGGCTAGTATGATGACTGGGGGCTTGCCTAGCTGGGGAGCAGTCTTGTTGGTACCCGCCTGCTTGGGGTATAGCGGCACGGCGGCATCCCAGTCGTCGTCGAACAGGGGATCTTCGTCCTTTTCCGACTTTAGGGCTGGTAGGAGGGTAGTGAGGAGGGCGAGATGGGTGGTCATGGAAAGCAGCGCGAGCGGGTAGGAGAGCGGGGGTGAAAGAAGCAGGATCTAGGGCTGTTAGCAGTGTGTTTAGAAGAGGCGTATCGCGACTTCTTACATCGACGTAGAGCTTCCAGTGAAACCGTCTGTTGATGTACAGGCGGTCTTTGAGCTCTCCACTGGCGAGCAAGCTCTCGGTGAGCATGGAGGACAGGAACACAGGCAGAGCGTCGTCTTCGCGGAAGCCTGGCACCTCGACGCTCATCTCGACCCAGGCATTCTGGCCCTTGCCCTTGCTATCGTCCGTCTCTTCGCCCTCTCCCATGTCTACATCTTCGGGCTCGTCCAGTGTCGGGCGCTGCCGTGACCTCTCCACCTCGGCCTTGACTCCTACGAGCGCCTCGGTCCCGTCTTCCAGGGCGATGCGCGCACTTCCGTTTGCGCTGGGCAGTACGTCATACTCAGCGCGCATAGAGCGAAAGTCGCGGGGGCCCTTGGTGACATCGAGGCGGATGGGCGGCGTCTGTGAGAGGGTGGAGCGCAGGAACGACAGCTCAGCGGGCGAGAGGTTGACGAGGGCCTGCTGGGGCGCCATGGCAATTGGATGGTGGTGCTTGGGACGGGGCGACAGCGAGGTGTTTGCTGCTCGCGGATTTCTTGCGCATTTGTTTCGACGACGAACTAGCGGGCCCGGCGATTCGGCTGCAGCGTCACTTGCTTGCAGCCCCGGCGCGGGCTACTTCGCGCGACAACACCGTGCGCTGACCGCCGGTCCGCAAGAGCATTGTACGTCTGGGTTATTGGGTCCGGGCAGACATATACTGTCGCAGTCTCGTGGCATCTCCTATATTCTACTCTTAATATATATTCCTAGGGCCATGCTACGGTAGACCAAGCCACCCGACCCTCGTCACACGTCCACGACCGGCCGCCAATGTCACCCCCGAGGTCCAAGCGGAACAGCGGCAATGCCATCACCACCATCGACAAGCTCGACTACCCGCCCAACTCGCCCCGTCGCCCGCTGCTCGCCCCCGACGACGACACCGAATCCCAGCGCCGCAGCAACGACACGAGTTACGCCGGCAGCTTCTTCGAGCAGGTGGCCGAAGGCATCTACGAGCAGGACCGCGTCAAGATGCAGCGCGCCGTGCTACGATGGCTGAGCTTCGTCTGGGCCATCGTCATCTGCCTCTGCGCTGGTAGCATCACCGCCTTCTCCCTCTACGGCCACTTGTTCCAGTCCAAGCTGCACTACACCCAGGTCCAGGTCAACATCGTCTCCATCGGCGCCGAGCTCGGCCTCTACCTGCTCGTCCCCATCTTCGGATACCTCTGCGACCGTCTGGGCCCTGGCGTGCCTGCCGGTATCGCTGGCCTTCTCTTCGGCTCGGGATATCTGCTGGCAGCCTTCGCCTTCAAGAGCGGCCCTCCGCCATCTGCAGGCGGTCATGGCTGGCCCTTCGGCGTCATGGTGCTGGCCTTCGCCTTCGTCGGCATGGGCACCAGCTGCATGTACCTGTCTGCAGTAACAACATGCGCGAAGAACTTTGGACGCGGAAACGCCAAGGGTGTGGCTCTGGCAGTGCCCATCGCAGCCTTTGGACTCAGCGGCATGTGGCAAAGTCAGGTTGGAAGCCGGCTGCTGTACGTGAGGAACCCGGATGGCACCAAAGGCGACGTCGACGTGTACCGCTTCTTCCTCTTCCTCGGCATACTCCTCCTCTGCGTGGGCGCCGTCGGCTTCTTCGCGCTGCGCATCATGGACGAAGAAGAGATGATCGACGAGGCAGTAGACGAGCTCGAAAGATCTGGTCTGCTGCAGCGCGACGAGTTCTTTACTCAGGCTGCGCAGCATCACGGCTACGGAACTATGGAGACGCAGGACCTCTCCGACTCGACCTTTGACTTCCTCCAGTCCGAAGCTGAGCGTTTGAAGGCCAAGGCGGAAGAAGAGGCACGCAAGAAGACATGGCTGCTGAACGAGGAGACTCGTCGGTACATCATGGACCCTACCATGTGGTGGCTCGCAGGCGGCTTCTTCCTGGTTACTGGCCCTGGTGAGGCTTTCATCAACAACCTAGGCACCATCATCGAGACGCTTACGCCTGCGCATGTCGCCACTAACACCTCGCCTGCCACCCACGTCTCCATCGTCGCCATCACCTCCACACTCGCTCGCTTAATCACCGGCACACTCTCCGATGTCCTCGCCCCGGTTTCGTCTGGCAACTCCCACCGTCGTGGACCAGACTCCATCGCGAACTCGCTATCGTCACTCCCATCCCTCGAGCAGCCGCGCCGATTCACCGTCTCTCGCATAACCTTCCTCCTGGCTTTCGCTTTCATCCTCTCCCTCGGACAACTTCTCCTCGCGAGTGGGTGGGTGCAGAACCATGCCTCCCGTTTTGCCGCCGTCTCCGCACTCATCGGTGCTGGGTATGGAGCCGTCTTCTCTCTTACACCTATCGTCGTCTCAGTAGTATGGGGCGTGGAGAACTTCGGTACAAACTGGGGCATTCTAGCCATGACACCGGCTGCCGGTGCTACGCTCTGGGGTGCTGTCTACGCCACGGTGTATCAGAAAGCTGCAGAGAATGGTGAAGCGGGTGTTCAGAAGGATCCCGAGGACGTGCTTTGCCATGGAAAGGCTTGCTATGCGTCTACGTTCTGGGCCATGACCATCAGCGTGTGGATTGCCATGGGTCTCATCTTCTTCGCTTGGAGGGGCCCAGGCGGGTGGAAGCAGAGGGGTGTTGCTGTATAATGGTCTTGTCTTTTTTTGCATGGCGAAGGGCGTTTGTGATTCATGGTTATGAAGCGTTCATTGCGTTATTCCTATGTTGCTGTACTAGCATTGCATATTCCACTTTCTTGAATCAATACGAACTTTGAATACTACCCTCACACGTCTGAACATAACAAAATGAAGCATATGCGCACATGCTGGTTTATCTTGCTGCTGAAGGGCGATATAGAGACTCGCTTTAGCAAGTGTAGCACCTTAATTAAGGAAGAACAAACAATCCTCAGGTCTGGAGCCTAAGTTAATGTTATGTTACCTACTTTGCATGTTTCTATCTTGATGTAGGCTGCAGACCTATTTAACTTCTCCCCGTGTATAGCGTAGAAGGAATATATCACAGCGTAATCTCTACATCCGCTGTTTGCAAACCTAACCACAATCAACAAAAAAAATAGAACAACCAACCCCTTCACTCAACGCCACAAGACAACGATCTTCCATCAACCACCCTTTCCCCGAAGGCTATAGTCTCAAGATCTCAATCCACAAGTTCGACGTATGCCAAACCTGTGTTTCAAGGGGAATTCCTCTAACTACCCTTGCTGCTGAAGGCTGTAGTATGAAGATTATAAAGAACACGTTTCCTGACTCGATGGTCAAACGCCCGTGTCCTCTATTCAAGACTTGAGTGAACGAGTGCTCGAACTCTTGTCCTATGTTTTGGTACTGCAGTACACGATGCTTTGCTTCAGCCTGTTTAAGGGCTTAGGCAATTAGTCTTGCAAGGTCTGGTTTCACCCTAGACGTTGCAGGACTGGGTTGTTGCTTGGTTTGCTTTGCTTTGGGGTTCTTGTGCTGTGATGGGCGATCGCGAAATTGTGACGATTATATATGGGATGGGATGTCGTATCTACCTCCTGCGTCTGTCGTGTGGGGCGGATGTGAGCTCTGCTATCGACCAAGGGAACGCGCGCATGCACGGGTGTGTCGTTGTGTTGAGGGAAAGTGAGAGGGGATGTCGTGCCTTCCTTCCAGGAAAGAGCAACAACGTGCACTGACGCACCATAAACCATCAAACCTCACCTCAACAAAACAAGAACACAATAGATGGAAGTATTAAATGTTATATTCCTTCGCCGCCAGCCACTTCGCCAAGGCAGACGAGGTTAATGGGTTCGTCGAACACTCATTTCATGCAAAGCTCCCAACGTTAACTCTTGTCTAGTCATGAGCCGTAAGCAGTCCCAGTCTACACCCGCGACCCTAATATACAAAGCACACGCTTAACCAGAGAACTCCTTAATGTCGGTAGTCTTGCCAGGGATAAGAGCCAATGGCACGATACCCGACACGTGCATCTCGGGGCCGTAGACGTGCATGTTGAGGCCGAGCTCCTGGCCGACACCCTTGATGTTCTTGAGACCCTCCTGGTAGTTGGGGCCGGCACGACGGATCCAGATCTGGACGTTGTGCTCGACGAGGAGAGGTGCGACTTCCCTCAGAGCGCGGATGACACCCTTGAAAGTCGAGGCGACGTTGGTAAAGTTGGCAATACCTCCACCGATGAAGAGAACCTTGCCCTCTGGGTGTTGAGGAGCACGGAGCATGAGGTCGAGGACAGTACGGGCGTAGTGGAAGGTCTGTGTCTCGGTGGGAGCACCAGAGTACTCACCGTAGTTGGCGAGCTCACCGGCGAAACCAGCAGAGGCGATGGCGTCGGCGTAAACGACGGACGCACCACCACCAGCGACCAGGGTCCAGACGCGGCCGGTAGCGTTGAGGATGGTCAGCTTGAGGGAAGCACCAGTCTTAGCGTCCATCTCAGCAATGTACGCTTCCTCCTTGCTCATCTCACGACCGAAGGGAGCGGGGAACTCCATCGGTGGGCCGACATCGACGGTCTGCTTAGCATTCTGCTGGGGAGCAGCTGGTATGCCGAGAGCTGTCGCGCTGCGAGCAATAGCCCACTTGGCACCGCACTCGAACTCAGCAGTTTGGTCAAGCTTGGCAGCGAGATCCAGGAAGTGAACCTCAGCTGAGGTCTTCTCCTCGTTGGGAATGACGACGAGAGGGTTGATCTCAAGGTATCTTGGTTACGTTAGTATGTATTAGGCAGGTGACAGGTGCCTGAGTAACTCACGTGAACTGGCAGTCAACGTAGACGGCGTATAACCTTGAGATGAAGTCGACGAGGACGTTGTGTACACCCTCGGGCACCTTCTTCAAGAGAGTGGCGGCAATCTCCTCGTTGGAGGGGTATTCCTTGAGGTCGACGGGGATGAGGAGCTTCTCAGCCTTCTCATCGACATCACCGACATCGACACCACCCTCGTGGGTGAAGAGGATCCAGTCACCCTAAGCGGACAAGTTAGCGGTGAGATCGGCAAAAGATCGCAAGATGGCGCCGATGCTAGAGCCGCAACACCACGGGCCCGTAAATTGACGATGCATAGGTAGCGGCGCAAAAGCGCTGAAATTGCAGCCACATTTGCATGTGAAAGTGGACGTGCGTATCGCAGAAGAGTAGGTGCTCTGCAGGAGTGGGTCGGCCGTCGTTCCCTTCGTCCGGCCGGCCTTGAAACAAAACCAGGCAGTGCGCCCGGTTTAAGCACGCTTCCCGCTCCGCTTGCACTCGAGCTGCAGCATTCCGCTCTGAGCTTCCGAGTATGCCTTTTGCACGCCTTCGCATGCGCCAGACCACACGGTCGCCCGAAACGGCACGAGATACGACGTAACGAAATAACGAAATGATTGTAGAAAAAGGCGGAAACTGAAATGGACATACCTCTCGCACGGAGTTGATGTTGATGTAGTACTCGGTGTCTTGGGGATGGGGAACGAAAGGCTCGACCAAGAACTGCCTCAGGACACCATCAACAGTCTCAACACGCTGCTCCTTTCCTGCCCTCGCCTCGATCCACTCCCTCGCCTCAGCCCAGGTCTTGTTCAGCGCGAGCAGGCCGCTCTTGCCTCGCCTCTTGATGAGCTGATCTGGCTTTGCGACGAACTTGGAACCGGGGGTCAGCAGCCATGGGTATGTGGCCTCGGCCTGGTCGAGCACGCCCTTGATGTCCTCATCGGCGGCGAAGTGCAGTGATGCGAGCTTGGAAGGGGGGTTGTGTGTGGCCGACGCGGGCAGGGGAGTGGGCTTGATGACAGGCGCGCGGGTGAGGTGGTAGTTGAGGATGGCCTTGCCGTCGGCCTCGAGGATAGACTTGGCTGACATTGTGGTGTATGGTCAAACTGCGATGGATGAGTGTCAATGTCAAGAGGGGCGGCTCGCGTGGAGACAATGGGGTGCAAGAGATATGGCTGGCAGGCAATCCCGAAAGAAGTCTCGGGTATGGCAATGGGGCCTTATGCAATGTCCGGAGACGAAGATGTTCGGAGAAGATGGTGAGGGGGCCGGGACAAAAGATGCGAAGTGGCAGGCTGGGGAGTGGGCAGACGTACCTGGATTTGTTGAGGCTTGACACACGGTCTGCAGAGGGTTAAGAGGAACTGCTGGCAAGATTGAGTTGTCAGACGGCTTGGGAGGAGCTTGAGAAAGCGGTCTGATGTTTTTTCTGCGTGTTGAGCACTGAGGGCGGGCAGCGGATGCAGGGCTAAGGCACTGGGCGCACGGCGGGCCTATCACGGCGAGGACACCCCACCAGGGGTACAGGAGCTGCGGATGCCCTACACGACCCACGACGAGATATCAACGACCCGAACACACGCTTCCCGGGGGATTTTCCGCGATAACACCTTCCAGAAAGCGCCAGCGCGGTGCATTGAAGCCCCATCTATTACCAACACCCCCAATTCCGATGTGCGACGCTGCGGTGCAGACATTCGGGTCCCCGTTCACCGCTCGGGACTTGGGGTTAGCGCCACACGCATCTAGTTCGTGCAGGGGATATCACTCTCCAGCTCAACACCGCCAAAAGTAAGGGCCAAACTTCGGAAAGAATCGCTGCTCCCTCTTCGCAACCTTCTCCCCATCCATCCAAGTACTCTGCTCTGCCCTCAGCACGGCATTGCATCCATAAGGTAAGTCACTCGCTCGCTCCTTCCCTAGCCCTTGTTGAGCTCCATCCCACCTGCCCGCTCTTGCGTGCCTGCCCCAACAGCTCCGAAGCATTTTTTCCCACGCGAAATACCCCGACCGCCAACCTTATCTGCTCGTCACAACGCCCGTTCCGAGCCAGACTGACCCTCCCGCCTCTCTAGAATTAATCGACCTTCACAATGCCTTCCGCAGCACCCCCCAACGGGAGCGTCCCAGCGCAGGCGGCCACCTCGAGCGACGGCCTCTCCGCCAACGACAACATCCGTCGTTTCGCTGCCCCCAGCCGGCCCATGAGCCCCCCGGCCTCGCACACACTCTTCCATCCCAAGACACGATGCTTCGTCTAGTAAGACCACCACGCCTGCAAAATACCGGAGCGCGGCTCTAACACAATGTGAACAGCGGACTGCAGCCCCGTGCCGTCCAGGGCATGCTCGACTTCGACTTCATCTGCAAGCGCAAGCAGCCCTCCGTCGCCGGTATCATCTACACATTCGGCGGTCAATTCGTCAGCAAAATGTACGTAGTCGTCAATACCCCGACATGCCCCGCCAAGCATCCGACTCACACAACACAGGTACTGGGGAACCAGCGAGACTCTGCTGCCCGTCTACCAGACAGTCGAGAAGGCCGTTGGCAAGCACAATGATGTTGACACCGTTGTCAACTTCGCCTCGTCGCGCTCAGTCTTCCAGTCTACCATGGAGCTGATGGAATTCCCTCAGATCAAGTGCATTGCCATCATTGCTGAGGGTGTACCCGAGCGAGTAAGTTCCAACCGCAGCAAAAACTACTCTTAACAGCCACTGACTTGCACTAGCGTGCGCGTGAGATCCTCCACGTTGCCCAGAAGAAGGGCATCACCATCATCGGCCCGGCCACCGTCGGAGGCATCAAGCCCGGTGCGTTCAAGATCGGTAACACTGGTGGTATGATGGACAACATCGTTGCCTCCAAGCTCTACCGCCCT